GACTATCTCGGAAAAAGACGACACTTTTATCTGCTCTCATCCCAGACGTTCAGAACTATGGGTGAAATACTTTAAGGAGCAGTTCAACTGGCCTTCAGCCACTCTACAACTACCCACCATTCCCAGACAGTGTGCATGGAACATTGAAGTAGGTTCCCCGACTCTAATTGAAATTCAAAAAGCTATAACTAATCTGAAACGGAGAGTTGGTCCAGATGGATTGGCTCCAGAGGTTTTAAGGATGGTGGTCTAGGTCTAGCGACTAGGCTAACTAATATTTTAGCTAAATTCTGGGATCTGGACGTAATCCCATCTGACTGGTCACAATCACTTATCGTCCCAATATATAAGAGAGGGTCAAAATCATTCTGTGATAACCATAGAAGGATTAGTTTGACTAACACAGCCTCTAAAATACTAACCTCAAAACTCGAGAACTTCAAACACGAGAAAATTATGCTGGCTGCAGATTTGGTCGTGGCCGCACCCACCACATATTCACCATTCATCAGGTTCTGGAATACATACATGCTTGTCGGCGCCTGACAATTATAGCTTTTGACTTAAAAACAGCATTTGATTCTGTAGACAGAGAGGTTCTGTGGCAGTGTCTGTCATTGAAAGGTGTACCTCGGAAGTATATAAACATTGTGAAGGCTCTTTACTCGAACACTACTAGTTGAGTCAGAGCTTATGGCAAACTACCATACAATTTCGCAAACTCAAGTGGCGTCCGGGATAACTGTCCACTATCTCCACTTTGTTCAGTTTCATCATAGACCTACAGCTCGAAATAACGCTCTCGTCCTCTAACTCTTCAGGAATTAATTTCCTACCAAGAGGTTCGCTTATGGACTTAAAATACGCAGATGACATAGACCTGTTTGGTGAAGACCCTGATAAAATGCAGTGCCTTTTGGTAACAATGAGCAACAATGCTAGAATGTTTTGGATGCGTTTCTTTCCCCCCCCCCTAAATGCAAGTTTTTGCTTCAGGACTGGCTTGCAACCACACCTGAACTAAAGATAGGGAGTGAAGTAGTCGAACGCATTGACTTCACTTAAACGGTGAGATTAAAATTGCTATATATTTTCCTTTCTACGAATTAATTCTTTTGTTCTGTACTATATCCTTATATATATATTACCAACCTAGAAGTAACTATCTTTCTGAATTCGGTGGTCATCTTGTGGTGCTAATGAGGTGTGGCAATTTGAACCGATGAATATATGTGACTGGTCCTACACTGTAAATGACTGACTGACTGACTGACTTACTATTAATGAAATAATCCATACATCATATTTTACTTTTGTGGTTTTAAAAGTATTTGCAGAAAAATGAACAGTTAAACTTGACTATCTAAAACAAATCAGGCCGCATAAATACCTAACTGAATATTCAATATGTACAAAACCAAATAATTAGGAGATTCGATTAAGCTTCGAAAAAAAAATAAAAATAAAAAACGAGTGTTTCAAAATTTAAGTCTTAAAATTATACGGTAGTTTAATGGTTTTGAACAATTAATGCTCTTTCCAATGGAAGTTGTATATTCGCAGTTACAGTTGTTTGATAAATGAGTCTATAAAAGAAACAGAAGATAATCCAACACAAAGTGATCCAAGATATCAAATATCAAAATAAAGTTGCGTTTCAGCTAATAAGTTAGAGAAGAATAAGAGGATGGAAATAATTTAAGGGTTAGAAATATGAGAGGTAGTTATCAACTCGACACATATGAGGAAAAAACAAGACATAAAAGTTATAATAACATTTGAATAACTATCTTAGAAAATTTTTACAGAATAATAATAACTGATCACAGTTTAAAGAAAGTACAAATAACAATAAAAACAAAACATACTAGAAAAGGGTGTTAGTGCCACGGAAGGGTGAGAGGTTGCACGTAATGCTTTTGTGTGTAGTGTTCAAGCTTGAATTGGTGAACTTCCAACGCCTCAGATGTGCATACGTTTTTGATTCGACTTGCCTTTAATCCCATTCTTCTGACCGTTTAGATTATTTCGAAGGATAATTTCTTTGGGGCAACGTGCTGTTGTATTGAGCTACTAATTGTTTTGGATTCCCTTTTTAAAAGTTATATTGAGAAATTTCCTGAGATATATTTAGAAAGTGTTCAATTTGTGTGACAAGCTACTCCAATTTCGACAGATACTCGTCAGAAATGGCCATCCACCTAGATTTATTGACAAAAACTTAGCATTAAAACTACTGTAGAAAGTAATTTCCTACAGATGCTATTCTAAACCATTCTCTGGACTGTTAAGCACGGTCTTAGCTTAGTCAAAGTTAGAACAAGTAAGCTTTTTGACTTGATGAACTATTTCTGTTTCTAAAACGTAAATTAACACTGTTAGCATAGAAAATGAACAATTAATACAGTCTGTTAAAGAGGGGTGTTGGCAGTTCACCAATTCAAGCTTGAACACTACACACAAAAGCATTACGTGCAAACTCTCACCCTTCCGTGGCACTAATGCCCTTTTCTAGTATGATTTATTTTTATTGTTACTTCGTACTTTCTTTAAACTGTGATCAGTTATTATTATCCTCTAACAATTTTTCCAAAATGATTATTCAAATGTTATTATAACCTTTACGTCTTTTGTTTCATATTCAGTTCTGTCAAGTTTATACTACCTTACTGTGTAATAATGATAAATCAACACAATATTATGTAATTATATGACCTTGTAGAGAAATTGATGATACTGCTTTATTATTTTCAACATCATTTTTAGTTAATCTTCATTATTTGTTCAAATGAACTCGGATGTAAAACAATTGATTATTGAGAAATTCCTTATTAATGGTAAACAGTTCAATCTAATTGTACATATACTAACATATTTGATTTGGATCTTAATTAGTCAACATTTTGATCGGTTCAATTATTTTTTTCCTAGCATGAAAAATTAACTCGGATATCAACTAAACTATTGATGGCATATAATGGAGGAATAGTTTTGAAGGTCAATTAAACAAATAGTACAAGATAATACAATAAAATGTGAATGATTCATTGGAATTACTAATAATTATACTTTTTATTTATTATATTTGAACACAAAGATATTGGTACAAGGAGGCACCAAATACATATGCGCCACACAGATCTCAATTGATTTGTGTGAAGGCTGTGATACTGCCCGGGTGCCCAAACCGAAGCAGGTGGTTTTCTTAGGGGGCCACACCCCGAGCCTTCGACCTGAACGTCTGACCCACAAGGCAGTGGAGCATCGTAAGGAGATGCAGTCCCATGGAAGCCGGTGACCAAGAAATCGGTTCATACGCCATTTGTTCCCTCAGGATACAGGAGCCCATGTGCACCATTGGTTTGGAATCAGGGTTTCCCAACTGCTCTAGGTGGACTCTCCATATCCACTAACCCGATTAAAGCGCCGGATATTCGCTTTTCGTCCTCTCAATTTCGTAAACAATACCCCCGCTCAGTGGTCTAGTTGGCTAACCGCCTGGCGTGAAACTGATAAATCCTGGGTTCGAGCCCCGCGGGGTGGGGTCGTGGATGCGCACTGCTGAGGCGTCCCACAATAATTATACTAAAGTTGATGGTAACAAGAATGATACTATGGATGTATAATATCTATACACTATACCATTGGATTATTCAAAATTAACTTCCTGATAATATTTGCACGGATAATTTGTATCCAATAATTATTAATGAGGAAACTAACACGAGTATAGTTCAATGAGAAAAGCATATAAGTATGTGATGTGTGTGATTGTAAAAGGTTTTGTGAAAATTGATAAATTTTATAATTTACAGCATGAACTGACTTTCGTTATATAACCAGGAAAGATTGGAAAGCTACAATATAGTTATAGTACGGGACTACTCAACGGTGGTCATCAATGACCTTATTACAGAAGCGGTGATGCACAGATTGGAAGCAGAGACTTCACCGGTGACCAACCTAAAAAATATGGATTCGTTATGTGAACGACACATTTGTCATCATCAAAAGGGACGAGCTAGAAAACACCTACGCTTTGGTCAATAACGTCTTTGATGACATCAAATTCACAACAGACGTTGGTACACTCTCTACTTCCCAGACCTTTGCAAACAACGTCGTCAGTACCTTATTTATATTTATTTTATTTTAACACATAGATATCGATACAAGAAGGCAACAAATATATATGCGCCACACAAATCTCATTTGATATGTGTGAAGGCTGTGATACTGCCCGGGTGCCCAAACCGAAGCAGGTGGTTTTCTTAGGGGGCCACACCCCGAGCCTTTGACCTGAAGATCTGATCCACAAGGCAGTGGAGCATCGTAAGGAGATGCAGTCCCATGGTAGCCGGTGACCAACGATTGGTTCATACGCCATTTGTCCCTTCAGGATACTGGAGCCCATGTGCACCATTGGTCTGGGATCCGGTTATAGCGCCGAACATTCGCTTTTCGTCCTCTCATTTTCGTCAGTCCCTTAGTCAGAAAGTCACCATCTTTAAAAAGAGCCGGAGGTAAGTCATCTGGGCCCGGTGATTTGTAACGTTTCAAGAGTTGGAGTTCCTTGCGGACTTCCGCCTCATTTGGTGGATCATTCGTCACCGACCATGGAGGGCAGGACAGTCTGACCGATGTTGCCCGAGCAGCAGGCCAGTTGAACAGCCCTTCAAAGAATTCTGCCCATCGTCCAAGACGTCGATGGATGTTAGTTATTGGCGTTCCGTCATCCTCGCAGTTTGTTTCGCTCACATCAGACTTCTTGCTGCCAAGTGGCTCGGATGAGTTGGAAGAGCTTCCGGTAATTATCAGATGCAGCTGCTGCTTCCAGCTCATTAGCACGCCCCGACCACCAGGCTTCACGGTCTTTACGCAAGCTTTGCCCGATTTCTTTACGTAAGATCCTTCGTCTGTGGTCAAACTCACGGTCACCCGGAGTAGACCGACGGGCTTCAATGAGTTGTAAGGAACCAGAAGAAACCCAGTGCTTGTAAGCGGAACGTTTCGCGAACCCACAACTGACTTGACCCGCCATTTTCATGGCGGTCCAGTAGACAAAACTATGAAAGATGATAAATAACATACTTATCAACTACTTATGTATATATCACAATCAAAATAAGTTTATTGAAAAATATATACAATTTGGAAAAATTTATATACATACAGTGTGTTGATAGTAATGGTAGTAGTAGTAGTACTAGTAGTGGTAGCCATAATGCTAGAGTGATAAACACAATCAAATATTACGTAAATTATTAAAGAAAAGAAAACGATGCAATAATTTTCTTTTCATCTATCTATACATTAGAAAATTTATTCCGATAATCGTCTTTTAAACAAAATAATTTCATAGGTTCATAAACTAAAACAACCCAAAATGAATAAAATGTTGTCTGGATAAGACGAGCGGATAAACCTTTGGAAAACCAACGTATTCCTTCAAATTGCCATAAATGAATAACACTTTGTTTGAATGGTATATGCGAAACCTGAGTTTTTATTTAAAGATGAAAGATTAATAATAATAATAATAATAATAATAATAATAATAATAATAATAATAATAATAATAATAATAATAATATTGGAAACTAAAATTCATCAAACATAGTAGTAGACGAACACAAAGATCCATTTAACAAAAACATTCTTACTAGATAATTTCAATTATACTTCAGTTTTTCGTGATAACTAATGATTTAGATAAAAAAAGATAAAAACGTAACAAGCTGATATTATTTGTGTACTTAAATTGTGTAAATCGTATTACATTTTACGACCTTTGATGGAGTTTTGCTCTCTGAGCTGGATAGTTTGGTCGTGGTGTTGATCAGCAATCGACAAGCTCATGGAAATCGATCCAATTTATCAACCAACCAGGAAAATTATGCACGAACATACGGACAAAAATTCAAATCAACGGGAGATACAACCAAAACAAAGAAGTAAACAATGACAAGTTTAAGGTTAACAAAAACCAATCAACATCGAGGTGTACAGGACAAACTGTGAACCACATGTGGAACAATTCAAACACTTCACTTCTACCTGAAGTTCGTGTTGATGATGTCATTCAGAAGAACGATGAAAGCTCCACGACCAAACCATCCAACTCAGAGAACAAAACTCCATCAAAATCATTCACCTTAGTTACATATCTTCTCCATCATCTCACTTTACGACTTTGTTTAAAACACCCGTAACAAATTGAATAAATGAAAGTTAGTCATTTATATTTACTGTTAATGTGTGTGTAGTTTGTTTAATTGTCATGAGTATCAGTTCAAGCATATAAGTAACAATTATTTTCACCATAGAAAAGTAATTATGATTATACATTTTAAGTTATATTGAGAGGTTTTGATTGTAATTAGAGTAAAAATAAAGGAGAGTTTATACAATGAATTATATTCTATCACTAAAGATTGTTAACCATAAGAAATACTTCAAAATGCCCAAACTATTTGGAAAAATATAAACCAATGAAGATTTATGACTTAATAATATATTTATCCAAAATAATCTAACAATATTAATGATGAATACCCAGTATATTATTCAAACTATATTCGTTAATATACTCGTAAGCTACCAGTACTTGACCACAGATACCTTAGAAATATCACTGGCATCTGCTGGGATCATCGGGTAAGTAATAGTGAGGTTAAACACAGGGTATTAGGGAATGATGGTAAATCAGTTGATGACGTTGTGAATCTTCATCGACTAAGATAGTTGTGTTATGAGTTACGTATGCCTTAACACTGATTACCACGACGTGCAATGTTAACTGGTGTTGGGGATGCTTGGAACAAAGTTAGGGGCGGCCAAACTAAAACGTGGCAACAGTGCTTGAAGACACTAACTTCTAGTCTGAGCCATATTGGCAGATGCAGACTACCTGATTGGAGTCCGCGTGACTATCGTAACCAATGGTTGGAGACTCTTGGTGACATGGCCCAGAACCGATCACAATGGCGTCGGTGCATACACTCTCTGTCTTCCCTTAAACTAAGTGATTAAAATCGCTTCATATCTTTCTTTCTACGAACTAATTCTTTCTTCCTGTATTATATCCTTATATGCAATCTTTCTGTTATGTATTACTACCATTGACTTGACCACTTCTATGAATCCGGTGTTCATCTCGCGGTATGGCAACTTGGACCGATGCATATATGTGCCTGGTCCTACGTTGCAGCTGACTGTCTGACTGAGTATATTATTCAAAACCATTTGTATTTTTTATAGATTTATAACGTCTGTTATACGTACTATATGATGTAGGGAGTTCAATGACATTCTAAACAGTCCAATCATACATTAACCTCTTAGTACACTTATACATGAATCAGACAGGTCAATCTAGAAAAATGGAAGTATATTTTCGAGGAAGAAAACATTAATTACAGTACTCATGATATACACAAAATCAAAGCCAACACCGTCAAGATAGGCTTAGGTTATAGAAAAACTAATTTTTCAAGTACATAATAGTGTTATGAATTTTCGTATGGTTAATGGTTCAATACATTCAAATATTCGCCTTATACAAAACTACTAAGGGTGAGTTTAGATTAACCCCATGGTCGAAGATGAATACTTAAATATCCTCACCCAACTTTACTTGTGCATCACGACTAACTCCTCTTATGTGTTCATGCACACAAGTATATGCAAACTGATAAACAAAATGAGATGTAACTCAACTGTTTATACTTTATTTGAGTTTTTGGTAAAGAATAGACTTCGCTATTTCAATTATGATGACCTTACCTGTGTAATAAGTTTCACCGATCGCTGATTCAAGCACTTCTTTGACTATGAGACTATTCTATTCACTTCTAAATGTTAGGGTGATGTAGATAGTTTATTGATAATAAAAGCGTAGCATCTTTTATGCAAATAATGATTGGTCCCGTCAAATAAATCATCCATCAAATCTTGCTTGTATTAGATTAAACGGACAGTAACCGTTAAACCTATCCAGTTCATGTGGGTTTACAATAAACAGAGCATTTGATCGAACCATCTTCTTTTAAGTCAGTAATTATATCTATTAAAAGATTATTTAATTTTACACATGAAACACCGGCTCCTACACTATAGTCCAATTGTAGTTAGAAAACAGTTAGTATTCCACAAGCTTGACCTTGTTACATTATTAGGGAGACCACATATATTGCATAAGGACTAGTAAACTACACAGTAAGCACTTCATATATTTTTCAATGTCACATGGCGAATAACAATGATTTGTTATGAAAATTATCAATAAGCTTACGAATATTTCAATAGTTAGGAACTTACAAAGGTAAAATTGATGTACCCTATCCCCACACCACTCCTACCTCATTTCCTTCAGTCAAATAAAAAATCTAGACTTACTTCTCCGTAGGGAAAGGCGATATATTGGGGTAATCAGACAAAGACCAAGATTCGACTCAACTTTCTAAGGAAACATACAAACACTTTTGGTTAAAAATGTGGCTTAGATAGTATACAGGAAGCTTGCATACCAGTGACAGACACGGACGACTGCATACGCTAACAAAAATCAAATAACTTTTTGCGAAACAATAAAAATATATTTGATGTGCAATCAGACACAATAATTTAGTATCTGATTATATCATAGGAAAGATTGGACAGAAACGAAGAGTAAAAATACTGAGAATATTTCCGTCAAAATCTAAAGAAAATTTAGTCCGAAAAATGGCTTACATAACGTGAAAAAGTGGATTATGAGAAAAAAACAAACTCACCTGCATTCGTACACGAACAACATCAAGAGGATTAACAATAATAGCAGATGAAATACCAGCTAGAGGAGCCGAAATCAATTGAATCAATAATCTAGGAATTGGAGCAGAATCATCCTCTGATGGCAAAAATACCGAGTCTTGAACATGTTCCTTACACATTTTCTTTGAAATAAAATGGATCAGATCTAATAAAGGAGAAATATATATATATATATATATATATATATATATATATATATATATATAAAATAAACAAGAGCCTGACTTCCACATTTTTAGCTGGAGAAAAAAATGGCGAGTTTTGTCTGTCGTTCTTATCATTATGATTGTTAGCACATACAGACAGAAGTCCTATTAATTATGTTTACAATTAAAAATACTGATGATTCGGTATGTAATAAACAACGCTATACTTCAAAGAATATTAAATAAGCTTGACTCACACATGCATACAAACAGAAACAATACTCAGAAATATAAGAACGCCCTTTATATAGCTTTAAAGAAGTGAGAAACTACTGTGTATCGAATAGTTACTTTAGTTGGTATATGGTATAGTTTGAACAAATATACGTCAAATATTTGTGGGGTTAAACTTTACCAGTTTTCACCTTAGTCTTCTACACTTTTTATAATATTCAGAGTTCCTTAGGATTAGTTTTTGAGTATTTGATAATTTAAGAGCCCGGGAACAGAGACTGTGAGACAACTAAACGGGTTTCACACCTGGGTGCATCGATCAAGTATTCACTTCTCTCCAAGTTTTGGCATATGAATATACTTGCCGGCACCTGACAATAGTTATAGCTCTTGACTGTAAAGTTGCCCTTGACTCTGCTGGTCAACAGGTTTTATGGAGACGTTCGTAGTTAAAAAACGGACTAAAGAAGTGCGTTAACTTATGAAGGATTTTTTGCTGAAAATCATTGGTTGCATCACAGCCTATGGTGAACCATAGTAATAATTGGTTACATCAAGTGGTGGTTGTCAGGGCTTTCCACTTTTCTGATGTTATCCAACTTAATCAGATACACTTCTAGAAATGATAACTTCTTAGTTCCACTTTTTAAGGGTTAGATTCCTACTTTGACATCCCCAAAACAAACCAGACTATGAAGACAACACTGAATTAAAGACGACAAAAAGAAGCCTTTTGAACAACCTAAACGACAATGCAGTCATATTTGAAATATGTTTCCCCTCTTCGTTACTTCACAATTGATCTGTGTTAACACTTAATCTAACCTCTGAGAATGAAGAAATTAGGCGCACTGAGTCATTCAGTCAGCTGCAATGTAGGACCAGGCACATATATGCATCGGCGCACTGACTACTTTTCTTATTATATAAGTCTTATCAGGCTTTACTCATTTCCGGCAAACATGGTTAGTATAGTAGGGTCATAGAGAATATATGATACAGGTAATAAAGTTCAACTGGGTTGTCAAAATAAGCGAGCACTATTATTGCGACAGTATAGGAGCTACTATCGATCAATTATGCAAATAATAATGGTTTGAATAACAACTTTAAACAACTTACTACAAAATTTATCATAAAACGACCACCACAATGCCGAACTAGGCACAAAAGTGCACATAGATATTAAACAACCTTTGTAGAAACCTTTTAACCCGTGAGTTTGCTTAATATAACGAATTACGCCACAAAGACGACCCCAATTGGAATTCATTTCATTTTGTGTTAAATGTACCGGAGTTAATGGACGAAAATAGTGTTGGTTAAATGATAGATTTGAATTTTTGTGAACCATATTTGCATGAACACGATTACAATTCACAACCATTAAATGTTGAGACACAACATCAATAGGAACGAAAAAACCTTGAGCAACACATGAAGCCACTGCACCACCAACAAAAGATCGATGAACAGGACTTAGTGCTGGAAAGACTGTACATGCTTGTCTAGCTACTTCATATGTGGAAACGTAGATAGTACCTAGTTAAGAATAGAAATAAAGTTGAAAACTAATTTAAAAAAAAAACGAAAATACACCACACAATAATTTGAATACTACGACCTAGTATCAGAGAGAAAACCACTTCTATACCGTCTTTTCTACTACGACTACTACTAATTTTACTCAGTCAGTCAGTCAGTCAGCTGCAACGTAGGACCAGGCACATATATGCATCAGTCCAAGTTGCCACACGTCATTAGCACAGCAAGATGAACACCAAATTCATAGAAGCAATTAACTCAACGGTGTAATATATAAAGGCAAGATTGCATATAAGGATATAATACAGGAAGAAAGAATTAGTTCGTAGAAAGAAAGATATGAAGCGATGTTAATCACTTAGTTTAAGGGAAGACAGAGAGTGTATGCACCGACGCCATTGTGATCGGTTCTGGGCCATGTCACCAAGAGTCTCCAACCATTGGTTACGATAGTCACGCGGACTCCAATCAGGTAGTCTGCATCTGCCAATATGGCTCAGACTAGAAGTTAGTGTCTTCAAGCACTGTTGCCACGTTTTAGTTTGGCCGCCCCTAACTTTCTTCCAATTATCCCTAACACCCGTTAGAATTGCGCGTCGGGGTAAACGGACTAATTTTACTACTCTGAGATTTGTCTTGATAACTTTATCTCATCCTGCTATGTTATAGCAACTTGAACCGACACACATACATGCTAGGTTATAAGTGGCGTATGACGGACTGAGGGAGGAAATATCAGAAAACTTGGATAAATCATAACATTTTTCAACTAAATCCCGAAGGCAAAATGATGTAGCCATAACGTTCAGTACTGATAAGACAATAAGGATGAGATAAAAACATAGATGAACTTGTATTAAACCAACCCATACCAAACTAAACAAATTCCTTACCGCAAATTCTGCATAGCTAAATGATCATGAAGGGTCCCAAAACCAATGCATATAAGAGGTCTTAAAAAATAGGCTAATTTGTTTATTGTGGAGAATCACTTAATGCTCTGAGTTTTATTTAATTATTTGAAAACTAACGTGTTATTCCAATTTACCAAGTTGGCAACTTCGAAAATAGGGTCTTTGATGGCTCATGAATGCATGTTAGTGCGTGTTAGCTGAGGGTGGAGAGTGTCCACTCTTCGTCTCCAAATGCTCCCACATGGCCACGCGTGTATAGCTACTGATATGGAAGTCTTACTCACTACCTTTCTGTGGTCGGGGTGTTATTTACGAAATTTAGAGGACGGAAAGCGAATGTCCGGCGTTTTAACAGGGTTGGTGGACACAGAGGGTCCATCTAGAAGAGTTGGAAAACCTTGATTCCAAACCAATGGTGCACATGGGTTCCAGGATCGTGAAGTAACAAATAGCGTATGAGCTTATTGTTGGCCACCGGCTATCATAGGACTGCATCTACTAACGTCGCCCCACTGACTTGTGGATTAGACCTCTATGTAAAAAGATCTGGGTGTGGTCCCCTAAAAAACCATCTGCCTTGGTTTGGGCACCCAGGTAGTGTCATAACCCTCACACAAACCAATGATAACTACCACTGACATTATTGTTATTGTGTGACGCATATATGTTTGGTGACCTCTTGTACCTGTGTTTGTGTTCAAATAAACAAATAAATAAATAAGGGGCAGCTAAACAAAGATGTGGCAGGAAGTTATTGACTGTTGGCCTGAGCCATGTTGTTAAGTGCAATTATTTGGTTGGGACCAGCGCGTCAGTCAGTAACAACGTGGAACTTCGTAAGTACGTACATCAATTCAAGTTGCCATACCACATTAGCACACAGATTCAGTTATCGATTCAAATCCCGTAGTGGTAGAGGTAGTGAAAGTATAAGTAGTGATAGGGAACACTAAGGTTTGATGATGTTATTTAAGGAGTATAATCCAGTGGAATAGATTTGGAAAGAAAACAAAGGAAATGAAGAATTCAGAAGATTAGAATTTGGGAGAAAACAGAGAGTGGATGCACCTGCGCCATTGCAAACGATTTTCAGCCATGTCATTCAAGGTCTCTAACCATCGGTTGCTATCATCTCGCGGTCCCCAACCAAGTAGTCTACACCTACCAACATGGCTCAGTCCACTTATCAGTGACTTCATGGATTTGTGACATGTTTTGGTCTGGCCGCCACTAGCTTTCTTACAACCTATTCCTACACCATAAAACATCGCACGTCGGAGCAGTCGGTGGTCGGGTATACTTAACGCATGTCCCAGCCATCTCAACTGATTAAGTTTCACTACATCATCAATTAATTTGCCATCCTTACCTAGTACCCGTTTCCTAACAACTGAGTTACTTACTCGATGGTCCCAGGATATACGAGCAATGTTTCGAAGACATTTATGATCAAATGCTAGTAACCTACGAATATCCTCTACTCGTACCGGCCATGTTTCACTGCCATAAAGTAGGACGGAACGAAATGCTGAGCAGTAAACACGTCCTTTGGTTGATAGACAGATATCTCGCTTACGCCACAAATGATGCAAGTTGGCAAAAGCTAGTCGAGCCTTTTATATCCGTGCTGAGATTTCGTCACACACCAGACCACAAGGGCTGATGAGACTTCCGAGATAAGTGGAGCGGTCGACACGCTCAACTACTTCACTCCTTATCACTAGTTCGGGTGGCGGCGCAACCCAATCCTGAAGCAACATTTTGCATTTCGAGGGAGAGAATCGCATTCCGAACATGTCTGCATTGTTGCTTAGAGTGGTTAGCAGACTCTGCATTTTGTCAGCGTCTTCACCAAATAGAACTATGTTATCGACATATTCTAAGCCCAGCGCGACTATTGTGACTAACTGTTGAAGGTGCTAGATGTTACTTAAAATCAGTAGCAACGAAACAGAATCATTCATTCTTTGTATACACCTAGATCCCGAGCTTCGAAATTATCTTTAACCTTTCATTCCGTACATTTGTTTCCTCTTCTCAAATCCTATTCTCCACCCCTAACGTTTTTACTATGACAACCAATATACATTTGTGATACGTTCTATGTTGATTATGACTGACATGACTGATTATGACTCACATCATTAAACCCTAATGTTCCCTATCACTACCTCTTCCACTATGGGATTTGAATCGATAACTGAATCTCTGTGCTAATGTGGTATGGCAACTCGAACTGATGTACGTACGTGCGAAGTTCCGCGTTGTTACTGACTGACTGGCTGACTAAACTTCTACAACTGATAAGAAACTTTTAAACACTATTTTTCATCAGATATTTATGTATTTAGGACGATGGAATCATATTTTGCTGCGACGGACTTCTCTCCTGACAAGTTGGTAGTATTAATCGTCTTCAAAATATGATGTATGTAATGCTTAATAGCGTTCATGACGAATACATTATTTAACAAGGATATAATTGAAAGTTGAGATTAAGTACCTATTTAAAAAATTAAAAAGGTAAAACAGCCCACCTAAGTATGTAAAAGGCCGTTCTAGTAATTTTCGACACCAGAACTAAAGTCAACACAACAGAAAGAAGCAGCTCACCTGAGAATATGTGAAATGATCGAACCAAGTAGCCACTATACAATCCTCGAAAACCCTCTTCTTTGACAACAGAAGAAATTGCGTGTACGAGACCACGATAAACCTGAGCACCTTCCTGAAGTTGGAGTCTCGTACGAAGCAAGACGAATGGATATAATAAAGTCTGAGCAGTAAAATTCCCCAAACCAGAAAGAGGAAAAAACATATGTTTCTTCAACATTGACAGCTCTATCACCTCAAAGTTCCCAAGGTTACCCGGCATCCCAAGTTAGATAAATACAAAACAGATCCAGCAGCTCAACATTTTCCAGCTAAAGCTAAGATCAAGAACAAATAAGAAGCTGAAATAGTGTAGGACTTGACTACAATCATATTCTTTAAATTTTCAACAACCAAAAAAACGGGAAATATGCATTAGTATTTCTAGTAGTACACTTAACTCATTTATGCCCCAAAATGCCCTGGTACGACCGAGAGTGGGGAGAGTCCGCTCCCCCTCTTGAAATGCTCTCACATGACCACGCGAATATGGCCTCTGCCATGGAAGTCCTACTCACTGCCTTCTCGTGGCAGGCGTGCTGTTTACGAAAATGAGAGGACGAAAAGCGAATGTCCGGCGCTATAACCGGATTTCAAACCAATGGTGCACATGAGCTCCAGTATCCTAAGGGAACAAATGGCGTATGAACCGATTTCTTGGTCACCGGCTTCCATGGGACTGCATCTCCTTACGATGCTCCACTGCCTTGTGGGTCAGACGTTCAGGTCGAAGGCTCGGGGTGTGGCCCCCTAAGAAAACCACCTGCTTCGGTTTGGGCACCCGGGCAGTATCACAGCCTTCACACAAATCAATTGAGATCTGTGTGGCGCATATGTATTTGGTGCCTCCTTGTACCAATACCTATGTGTTAAAATAAATAATAAAAAAATAATAATAACCGACTTTGGTGGCTTGGACATGTTCTACGAATGTCGTCCCAGAGAATTCCACGTCATGCATTATTTGCCGACTCTGGGACTGGTTGGAAAGGTGGAGAGGTGGTTAGTTCATGACATGGTGTCGTGGTATGAAAGAAAGCTGCAAAGGGCTGGCTTGTGTTGGTCCTTCACGACTCCCTGGCTGGGGTCTTAGAGAAGGTGTAACACAGTGGCTGGAGACGTTATCAGATATGGCTCAGAATAGGAGCCAGTGGCGACCCTGCTGTAACCTTCTTTTACTTTCTTCATAAAAAGTGGTTGTATCCTCCTTAAATGTAAGATTTGTTCTAAGTGTACCTTTTCGTTTCCCCCCATTATTGTTCTTTTTTTATTTTATAATCCCCTACGTTCCCTACTTTTTTCCCTTCTTAAATTCTCATTGTTTTGTGTGGCGCATATATATTTTGTGCCCTTCCTGTACCAATATTTGTGTTCAAATAAATAAATAAATAATTTATAATAGATATTATAAACACTACTTCTGCACGCAGTAAATCTCAAGATATGAATATTCGTTGAAATAAATTGGTACTCTGGAAATATATGCTGAGTTTATCTGATCTAATTGAAAAAATATACGTCAGGTTTTAAATTATTTCTCAGTTGTGTGTAGTGTGCTTAAAAACTCATTACTTACGACAGAACAGTGTCAAGAAGTCCAGAATTAATACTTTAAGCCATCAAAATGATTGAACGTGCAGTAAATCTTTGAACCCTACTAGAGCTATGATACAGCGTTCAAATTGGGGGGGCCATAACACATTTTATGGCTTAAGTTTTATTGATTTTATGCAAATTACTGAATAGACTGAATATATTCGTAGGCTATCATTCGGGTATGAATAAATTTCTAAGATAGACTTCATTGTGCTACTTTCCTGTTTTAAATACCTACTACAACTATTTATTTATTTGAACACATAAATATTGGTACAAGGGGGCACCAAATATATATGCGCCTCACTATATATGCTCCACACCTACTACAACTAAGCATAAAATAAACGAATTTGTCAATTATCTCGTCTTATCTAATTACTTCCTGTTCCCATAACAGTGACAACTACATCTTTATGGTTTTCATAGTACTCATTTGTCAATCACACAATCTGAAATGAACAGGATAACAATGATATACCGACCAAATAATTGGCTTGGGAACAGTTTTTACAAACCATTATTGCACAATTTCAACCACCATAATGGTTGTGGAAGACCTGGTAAGAGATTGAGATGAGAATTCCACTAGTGAGCACTAACCACCCACTGGATAACACAGAAAATGACTTGTATAGGAGGCAGGGAAATGAACAGAAAATAATGCAAAAGAACACACCACATAGCCACATCATTCAGAACTAACACTGAGATGACGTTATGGGGTATGTAGGTACTTAACCTATGTAGCAGAAACGAGACGTAATGATGTAATGAAGTAGTATCGATAAAGCAGACATACAAACCATACAGCGACTACTAACTTCTATCATCCACAGGTGGCACGAGAGGATGCAAAGCACATAAATTAATTACCAGATAAGCAATAAATATGGATAGGACCCAGAAATAATATGGTCTGAAAAGCATGCGAAGTAAACAATTCGGAAGCTCTGACTTGAATCAAACAAATTTTAATTAAGCCATCAACCATTATAAACCGCAAACTAATTGCCAAGACAAGTCATCCGATACAAGAAATTAATATAATTATATACATGTATCTATATCTGTAAATTACACATGCATTCCGTAGAACTACTCAGATGTGAATGCACCAACAACTCCACAAGCACATTAACATTTCCTTTGCAGGTAAGCATCATACTCAGCTTTAATATTACGCGTTTGTTCACTTTTATTTATATCGACTGCTATAGCAGTCGCCTCCTTGAAGTAAATGAACTTGCAAAGACAGATAAAGTGACCTATCCTTGGTGTCTATAGACACCAAGGATTACTATAGTAATCTAAGAAAAGTACTGATGTCTATTATCGTGGTAGAATTAACGCAGATTGATTAGTTTTTATCAACTACACTTTCAAACACGTCTGCACTGTGGGTTGTCAATATATTGTGTGGAAGGTTCGATATAACATATCAATCAAGGCACAAAACCAACCCATTTAAAAACCCGCCAGAGTAGTGAGCAGCCTTTCGAATTCAAGGTCAAGTTTCTCCAGTCTTCAGACCTTGGTGATTAGGATAGGAGTTCTATCGACCTATATTATTCTTTTCAGTTTGTAGCGCTGTGAAGGTGCAATCTGATGTCTATCAATGCTGCAAAGTGTGTCTACAAGCTCATCGGTATACAATGGTTAATAGGTGTCTGTACCTGTGGTCCGGTCAAATGGTTCAAATTGTTGTGGACGGAATAAAAGAAGCTTTCGCTTAGCAGGCTTCCGTGTCTAGTAGCAGGGGATCACCAATACCTCCAGGCAAGAACCTAGGTATATTGACGATAAAACAGAAAAAACAATGAATTGGTAAATCATAGTAAGATACTATCCTTAGTCCTTAAGAATAGATCAAGTAGCCTTTCGAAGGACTCCTGAGAAGTTGCTTGGACTAGCTCAGCTGGCAGGGAATTCCAGCATTTGACAACTCTTAAGGAGTAGAAGTTGTGTCTGCAGTCCGTTCTACTATGTTGTATTTCTAGTTTCTGGGTGTTACCCCTTAGGTTAGTGTTGGGACTAAGCTTAAGTAGGTGTTTAAGAGGGTGTCCAGGTGTGTTAAGGATACTGTAAGCCATTAGAAGGTCACCTCTAAGACGCTTATACTCTAATGGGTAAAGGTCGAGTGATTGGAGGCGCTCATCGTAAGGTTTAAATTTGAGTCCCCGAACTGATTTCGTGACTCGCCGTTGAATACGCTCCAGAGTGTTCTTATCCTTTTGGAGTGTAGAAGGGAATACTGTGTTCCCGTACTCTAAATGGGGACCAATGAAACTATTGAAGATTATGTGGAAAGTTCTCCCGTCAAACTGACCAAAAATGCGCTCCAATGTTACCACTGCCAGGTTTGCTCGAAAGGCATTTCTATCACAGTTGGCGTAAAACTTTAAGTCGTAGGGCACCAGAACTCCTAAATCTTTTTCGACTAGGGATACTACTAGGGAGGAGTTTCCTAAGTTGTAACTGTAGTCTGCGACGTGTCGCAGATGGACTACTTTACACTTTGAGGTGTTAAAGGTAAGTCCGTTATCGTCTGCCCAACTTTGAAGTCGAGTCAGATCCGCCTGAAGTGCCTGTATGTCCTCTTGGTTGCATATCTCTCTCCAAAGTTTTACGTCATTGGCAAAGAGCAATATGTTTGACGTTACCTGTTGAGGAAGATCATTTATATAAATCAGGAAGAGGAGAGGTCCTAGTACTGATCCTTGGGGGTCCCCACTAGGACATTCCATAGCCTTTGCGAAATTAAAGTTTACCCTGACCTTAAAATGTCGATTTGTCAGATATGAACTGAGCCAGTCAATTAAAGGTGGTTTGATACCCAATTGTTTGAGCTTTCTAATAAGACAGATGTGATTAACCCTATCAAAAGCTTCAGAGAAATCAAGGTAAATGATGTCCACCTTCCCCTTGCGATCAACGATGCTTGTCCATCTGTCAACCGTGGTCAGCAGGTTCTTCATACAGGAGTAACCCTTCCTGAAACCATGCTGTTGGAGTGAGAAGAAATTTAAGGACAACAGATAGTCGTGTATACCATCGTATATCAGGGACTCCATGATTTTTGAAGGTATAGAGAGAAGAGCCACCGGTCGGTAACTCGAAGGTTCGCTGCGTCGACCTCCTTTGAAGATTGTTGTGATATGAGTCAGCTTCCAATTATCTGGTAGTTTGCCTCGACTTAGCGAGTGTGAGAACATCACGCTGAGCGGTGTTGCCAGGATTGAAGCTGCTTCCCTCAGTATAGCAGAGTGAACCATATCTGGACCAGGAGAAGTGTCTGTTCTTAGGTGATGTATTTTTCGGAGCACCAAGTCAGCGCTCAATTTCACTACGGAATGTCCTGTGCAGTTGCAGATGAAGCCGTCATCCGTATAGTTGATGTGGGACGGTTGAAATGTCCGGGAGTATTGCTCAGCCAGAAGGTTAGCGGCGTCACCGTCATTATCGGTCGGGCCGTTAGGACCTAGCACTTGAAAAACTCCAGTTATGGCTTGACGAAGAGAGGCTGCGTAAAGGAATAAGCTTTTCGGATTGGAAATAAATTTATCCATAAGCTTTAACTGGTACTGGAGCCTGTCTTCTCTTATAGCCTTCGTACATATATTCCTTATATGTTTGTATTGCCTGTACTCGCCATTGTTGTTGGTTCGTTTGTATTCTGCCCAACAGTGCCTTTTACGGCTTAACAAACGATGAGTGTGGTTTTTGATGATTGTAGGTTGCATGTGGCTTTTGGGGACCGTTTGAGGGACTGACTGCTTTGTAGCACATAAGAGCGTGTGTAATAGGAAGTTCCAATGAGCATCCACATCGAGTTGACGGTGAACATCCCAATGCACCTGTCGTAGATAGTCCTTTAGAGCTGACGCATTCAACCGTTTAAAATTCCAGCTCCTGTTGTTGTTGGGATATCGTAGCTCAGTTTCGCTGACGAAACTGAAGGCTATAACGACGTGATCGCTTTTCCCCAGGGGAGCCAGAATTGAGAGGTTGTCGACTAGAAATTCTTCGTTTGTAAAGACACAGTCTAAGCGCGACGGTGTCTGACTGTTCCTCCAACGAGTAGCCAACTTCACATTTTCGTGTAGTCCCAAGTCCTCAATGAGGTTGAAGAACCGAGCTTTGATTGCATTTTCACCTCCAACATACGTATGTTCCGCGAAGTTGACTCTAGGGAGATTGAAGCCCCCTAAAATCAGGATATGAGTGAAGCCGAGACGCGTAGAGCATGATAGTCCTTCTAGCATGCGACTGTCGTACTCGATGTCGGCAGTGGGCTTCCTATATGTGACTCCGACTAGGCACCTCGAAGTAGTGGACAATGTCATAGAGCACCGTATAGATTCCTCAAGATTGTCAAACTTATGGTTGTGAACTTGGTGTACCTCCAAGCCAGATCGTATGTATAGGGCTACTCCACCCCCAATTCCTGTTTTTTTTGTCGTTGCGAAACAGAGACATCTCAGGTATTGCTAGCCCCTGGTTCGAGTACTGAGGAGATATCCAAGTTTCAGATATTCCTATCAGATGAACCTTATTAGCGTTGCTAAGTTCACTTAGTTCATCCATTTTATTTGGTAGACTCGCGGCGTTCATGTATAAGCAGTTAATGCTTTCAATTTGAAACGCGTGCGCTTCTTCCTGTTTGTCTGTGAGAGCCTTACGTGAGTGGACAGGTAACTCACCTATACAAGTTTTGTCAAATTGGTAGGCCCTGTCCTTTACACGTTTTTTTTATCTTGAAGACAGTCCACAAGTGGGATGGTCAGCTCCAGCTTGCCTTTGTGCTTGATCCTGGTGTCGTATGGCCTGTCCGGGTGCGTGTGGATCCCAGTTGGCAACCGACGTCTGTTGACACAAAATGCTTCCAGAGCTGCAGCCGCCATATGGGAGGATGGAAAAGTTATCCTCATTAGTCGGGGTCTAGTATCCCCGTCTTTCTTGGCTAGTCTCATCACATGCTGAGTCAGTATGTTTTTGAGCCTCAAGGACTGTTTGATGAATTTCCGTTCCCTTATATCAGAATTTACTTGACTAGGGTCGGTGTTTTCCGGTACACCTTGCACAATTATATTTCTTCAGCGGAAAAACTTCTTGCGAGATTCTTTAGGGATGTTCGGATGAGATTGCACTGAGAATACGGTATGTCGGGAAGTATTCTGACGTTCCCACGGGATTTCAGTAGATGACTAGCTAGCAGGACGTCCTCTACTTCGGTAGCATTCTTGAGTGTTACACGGAGTAGTCTCAGGTGATTTTGATGTTTAGATTCCTTTCCTCGAGTGAGCCGTGTGACAGTCAAAGGCTCTATTCTAGGAAGTTCGAGCTTTTTGTTCAGTTCACCCCAGGGCATCCTGTCGTTTTTGTCCTGCAAACTGAGAGGAAGGTCAGGATTGTCTATGGGATTCATGATTATGAGAGAGTCGTCACGGACCGTTGTTGTTTTCCCAGGTTTTCCGGTGCGTTCGGGTTTAGTACGTTGTTGTTTGGAGGTCAAAGCAGGTTTTTGAGTCGTAGGCTTTTTGATAACCGGGCGGACGTTTTTGGGGGTAGACTGAGCGATCAAAGCACCAGTTGATTTCCGTACAACACTTGGGATGTTAACCTTAGACGGTGACACCTGGTCCTTTTTAGCTCTGTTGGCGTGGGTGTAGTCACCTGCAGAGTTTTTAGGAGCCACAGTTGCGTTTAAGGACCCTGAACTGGGAGATCCAATTTTAGTGAGGGAATCAATTATTGTCGACGTAATGATGGTGCTGAGTTTCAACATGTCATCATTAGTGCTAATGCGCGTTCCATCGATGGTTGACTTATCAACATCCCTATTTTTATTTTCGTTGCGCGCCTTTGTTTGTCTACCTACTTTATGGCTATCTGTTTCTAAGTTTACTGACAATTTGTTACGCAGACCTGTGAGTAGAACAATGATGTTGCTCAGCAGTACTACAGCGTCCGTGTTGCACGTAACACACACCCACTTACGGTCCGAGTTGCTGAGTCTCTTGTAAGCAGTTTCTGTAAGATCTGTGCACATTTCGTGGAACCAACCTTTGCAGTTGTCGCACTGCATACCAGATGTAACAGCAAACCGGCATCCAGGTCGTTTACATGAATTTTTCATGGCTGTATTGACGTAAACTGTGTTAGAGATAGTATCAAAGCTTAAGACCGTTAAAAATACACAAAAAACCACACTAAAACGGGAAAAATGTATAAAAACGGATGAAATAAAATGAACTAGCCTTTACGTGAAAAACTGAAAAAAAAAACCGAATAGTTAGCTGGGGCAAAACTACAGTTAACTATTAAATTGAGCGAAACTCAAAAAAATGTAATCTACCGAACTTATAGCTCAGAATAGAGTGTTTATATCAGAAAATGTACTTTTGTTGCTTAAGAACATAGCAAAAGTTTGAGAAATGCAAACCACGTTAGGACTAAACTTCCCGTTCAAAATCGGTCTCACAAGGATATTGGGCTGGCAGTAA